GATAACTGTTAGATAACACTAATGACTATTACTAAGGGACACTCTCAGACGAGAGACAGAGTTGTTCCAACGCCGCCACGGACGGTAAGAAGGAACTGGAGGGGTCGGGTCGGCAGGGATATATATACCCTGGAGCGGGGCGCCGCTCTGGCGGGAAGGAGGGGGCCCTGCCGGCCCGACGGGAGCCGCTAAGGGAAAAAGTTTCCGACGTCCGTGCACGCGGCGCGCGTACACCTAATGTGTAATGGACGTGAACAATCACTCGAAGAAGAAGATACATTTCACATTTTATTTATGGTACCAATTTTTTCTAATTTGCAAACATTGTAAACTGGAGAACCGGGTCCCTGGGCAATTGCTCCCTTTCCCCTGCCCCCCTTCAGCGGGCCTGTTTATAGGAAATAGAATAACATCACTTTCAAAAGAGATTTTCCACACTGGGAGAAATTTTCATGTTAGACAAACTAATTTATCTTTCAGATTTTTTCATACTTGTTTTGCCACATTTGTTAATTACTGAAGATATTTTATTATAATGTATAAAAGAACTTTTTTCCATTATTTATCACGCAGTGAGGTCATATTACTGAATTTGCAACATCACATCCACTTTCATAGTAAAAGACTGTCACCACAAGCATAGAGTCATATTTTTTGTGCCTGATCTAAGAGGAAATCTAGGGTGTTATTGGGGGGGAGGGGGAGAAGCTCATTTTCAAAATGCAAATAACAAAGGGAACACAAAATATCAGTGGTGAAATAAACTGCTGGTTGTATAAAAGGCCTTTTCTTTCAAGTGTATTCTGGTTTGAAAAATTCCATTAAAATGAATTCTTATACAAAAAAATGTCTGTAAAAAGTTGCAATAATCCTTAACAATTTTAAAAATGGGGAAGAGAAAATACGAAATACTTCAGAGCGTTAAAAAGATTGTTTAAGATCCTCAACTGGTCTAGACTGCAAAGGAACAACCAGTTGAGATTCTGTCCTTTGAATTTGAGGTAGCAGTTCTCCCATGCTGTATAGCAGAGTGAAGGAAAAACTTCTGGACACCTCTGATCACCTGGCATCAAAGGTATCTAGCTACCACTAATAATTCACTCCATTTTTTGACATGCAAGTAAATGAACAGAAAATCCTGTTAAAATTGCTAACTTTGGAGTAAATTGGTATCCTATTATTTCAAAGTTGAGTAAAATAAATGCCTTTAAAATAATAATTGTAATTTATACAATCACGCAGGCATATCCACAATTTGTAGTACCAGAAGCTACAATGAAAACCTGACACAAAATCAAGGGATTTGCACATAAATTAACAAATCTTTACAAAAAGTGCCTACAATCATAATATTTGTTTGTACTTTAATGTCCTAAATTAATAGAAATTACTGTTTAAACTGTACAGCAAGAAAACCATGATATAAATCCTGATTTATCAAAGCACTTAAGTAGATGCGTAACTTTAAGCATGCAAGTACTCCTATTGAAAGTCAGTGCTTAAAAAGTTAAGCTTGTGATTAAGTGCTTTGCTGAATCAGGCCATACTTACTATATATCAACCTGTCACTTCTAGATCTCACTAGGCATTTCTGGTCTCAGGAAGCTATCATGAATCTGTTTTTCATTCCAGGATGAGAGGTAGCTTACTTTTTGTGAAGGAACTCCCCAGCTGCTACTGCAACCGGCCGGTGTGCTGAATACACCAAGTGATAAACATTCTCACAGTCTTCATTGGACAGAGCTTCTTCACTTCCACTGAAAAAGTCAGAAAGTAACACCTGAACCAAAACAAATGTTTAATTTCAGTTCCACCACCTCCCATAAGTTACTTTATTTTTATAGACTGTCTATCATAATAGGGCTACCTGGGCCTCATCTATACCCCACAGAAATTAATGGGACATTAACTTCAACGGGTTTAGGATTAGGCCTCAAAAATATTTAAACACTTCATCACCAAAAAACCCCACCTTTGAGTTAAAATGGCTGCTTCTTATGAAAGTAGTACACTAGGAAATGATTAAACATTTTCTTAAATTTGAAAGGCAACATTTTTAGTTTTAATAACTTGCCAATATTTTAAGAGGGTTCCTTTGAAAAAAACATCTAAAATTTTGCTTCTATAGAAGTATACACATTTCAGAATTTACAAAAATAGTTACAGCTAATGCTGTAGTTCAGACTGAGAAGGCATTATAAATGTTCATTTACACTTGAACTTTAATTTCTCCCAGAAAATTTCTTTTGGGCTGAGATGCCCCACACATAGATTCAGCCAAAGATAAACTATTTTTGGAAAGTGTGCTCAAAATCCATTTAACCTTTGAGTTAACCATTAAAAAAAAAACCCTGAACTTAAAAGCAAAACCAAAAGAGTGATCTAATCACAATACCTTTTGCACAAAGATAAAACTCTTGGGGCCAGAATCTCCATTGTGAGCGGTTTCCTTTGCACTGCTCTAGATTGCTGTAAATGGCCAGCTGAGAATTCCTTAGCGGTAGGAAGAGGGAAGGGCAATGTGCACCTCCCCCACACACTCTGGCATAGGGGTGGGGCGGAGCGCCTGCTTTGTCAATCCTCAGCTGATTATTTGGGGTCTAAATCATGATTTTTCCTTTCTTGACATTGGCAACATTGTTGATGATCCATAGAGTATAAGGCTAGAAGGGACCACTAGATCATCTGACTTCCTGTGTATCACAGAACAAAAGATTCCACACAGACACCCCCGGGGCACTCTATCATGGGAAGCAGTGACTATAACAAAGATTTGGGGGTTCTGGTGGATAATCAGCTGAACACGAGCTCCCAGTGTGACGCCGTGGCAAAAGGGCTAATGGGATCATAAGAACATAATGGCCATACTGTGTCATACCAAAGGTCCATCTAGCCCAGTATTCTGTCTTCCAACAGCAGCCAATGACAGGTGCCCCAGAGGGAATGAACAGGTAATCATCAAGTGATCCATTCCCTACTATTCATTCCCAGCTTCTGGCAATGCATAAACAGGGGAAATATTGAGAGGAATACAGAAGTTATAACTGTATTTGGCATTGGTGTGACCACTGCTGGAATATTGTGTCCAGTTCTGGTGTCAACAATTCAAGAAGAATGCTGATAAATTGAAGAGTGTTCAGAGAAAAACCACAAGAATGATTAAAGGATTAGAAAACTAGCCTTATAGAGATAGACTCAAAGAGCTGAAGCTATTTAGTTTCACAACAAGAAGGATAAGTGTTGCTTGTTTACAGTCTCTAAGTCTCTACATGGGGAACAAATATTTAATAATGAGCTCTTCATTCTAGCACAGAAAGGTAGAACATGATACAACATCTGGAAGTTGAAGCTAGACAAATTCAGTCTGGAAATAAGTCATAAATTTTTTAAATTGAGAGTAATTAACTATTGGAACAACTTTCCAAGGGTCATGGTAGATTCTTCATCACGGATAAGCTCACGGTGGATTCTCCATCACTGATAATTTTGAAATCAAGACTGGATGTTTTTCTAAGAGATATGCTATAGGAATTATTCTGGGAAATTCTACGGCCTGTGTTACACAGGAGATCATACTAGGTAATCACAATGGTCCTTTCTGGCCTTAAAATCTACAAATCTGTACTGAATCCAATAACTTGTGTTTGATTAAACTGTATCTTCCAGATAGATAGCCCAGTTTTGATTTGTAGACATCAAGAGATGTCTACAAGAGATCCATCACTTCCTTGATATTTTATTCCAGTGGTTAATCACCCTCCCTGTTCAAAATGTGTGCCTAATTTTTAATTTGAATTTATCTGCGTTCAGCTTCCAGCCACTGGGTCTTGTTATGCCTTCCTCTGACAAAAAGCCCGTAAATACACAATATTTTCACTCCGTAAAGGTAGTTGTACACTGTAATCAAGCCATTTCTCAATCTTCTTTTTGATAAGCTGAATTGATTGAACTTCTTTAAGTCCCTCATTGTGAGGATTTTTTTCTTTTGGGCGGCTCTTTTCCACACACACTCCAGTTTTTCAACATCATTTTAAAATGTGGACACCAGAACTGTATGCATTATTCCAGTATCTGTCTCACCAATGCTGTATATAGAGGTAAAATCACCTCCCTACTTCTACTCATTACTCCCCTATTTATTGTATTAGCACTTTTTGCCACAGCATTACACCGAGAGCTCATGTTTAGTTGCTTGTCCACTATGACCTCTAAATGCATTTCAGAGCCACTGCTTCCCGGCATATAATCCCCCATTCTGTAGGAATTACCTAAATTCCTTGCTACAAGCTGTATGACCTTGCATTTGGCTGTATTAAAACAAATTTTGTTTGAGTGGGCCCAGTTTACCAACTGACCCAGAACACTATGGATATGTCTACACAGCAAAGAAAAACTCGCAGTTGGTCCATGCTAAGTGACTCTGGCTTGTGGGACTGTTTCACTGCTGTATAGACTTCCGGGCTTGGGTGGGAGCCCAAGCTCTATGACTCTGCAAGGTGGGAGGGTCCCAAAGCTTGGACTCCACCCCAAGCCCAGAAGTCTACAAAGCAATGAAAGAGCCCTGCAGCCCAAGCCCCACAAGCACAAGGCAGCTGGCACGAGGCAGCCGTGAGTTTTCCTTGCTGCATAGATGTAGCCCTCCGTATGTCTGTCCTGTCCTCATAATTGTTTACCAATCAGTCTTTGTCGCACTTACATATTTTATCAGCAGTAATACTATTACTTCCAGACCACTGAAGAAACATGGAATAGGCTACTGATCTCTGTGGAACCCCACTATAAACACCCTCATTAAATGAAGATTCTGCATTAACTACTTTTTTATATCTATCAGTTATCTAGTTCCTAACGTGTGCTTTACTGATACTGCATAGTACTAATTTTTAATTAGAATGTCGTGTGGTAATAAGTCAAATGCATTTACACAATTAACTTCAGCAACCAAACATGCAATCTCATCAAAGAATGAAATTAGGTATGTTTGACAAGACATATTTTCCATAAAACCATCTTGACTGGCATTAATTATATGCTAGCCTTTAATTTTTTTATCAGTTGAATCCTGTATCAGTTTTTCCATTATTTTGTCCAGGACTCATGTCATATTCCCTGGTCTACAGTTAGCTGGGTCATCCCACCTGTCCTTTTTGAATACTTGCACAATGCCAGTTCACGTCCAATCTTCTGAAATTTCCCCAGTATTCCAAGATTAATTAAAAATTAACATTCACGATCTCTCACGATCTCTCAGCCAACTCTTTTAGGATTCTTAGGTGCAAGTTATCCAGGCAGAAAGATAAAAAACATTTATCCCTAGTAGCTGTTGTCTAATATCTTCCTTAGTTACTAATGCATTGGAAAGTATTTCACCATCCTCATATGATATGGATAGGCTTGGCAGATTTCAATTTTAATAGATATCTGTTGGTAAAGGTCAATTTCAGCTGACACAATGAGATCAACGAAAAAAATATCGAACAGTAACAATCCATGTGCCTGCAGAGATTGTGCGTCACTGGCCATGCAGGGAGCTTTCTGCAACTCTGATGTCATGGCCTGCTTGTTCACTCATCAGACAGAAGCTGTCATGAGAATGAGTGAGCGGGGTTATGACAGCAGGGTTGCAGAGGGCTCCCTACATGGCTGCAGGGCAGGTGACACCTGATCCCTGCGGGCACAAGGTGCAGGGAGAGGCTGCAGTCCTGGTAGGGCAGAGCAGATACCTCTGACCAAGACTGAAAGGAGGGGAGCAAGATGAACCACTGGTCAGGGGGAAGGACACCCCACTACTTAATGGCTCCTGGGGTAGGACAGGGAGCTCTCTGTAGCCCTGCTTTCACTCATCAGCTGGCCATGCTACTGCTGAACAGTTTCTGCCTGGGAATAGCTCTTGTATTTTGGGCTGGTCAGTGAGTGGGGCACTGTGCACATCCTGGCTCAGCAGACAAGGAAATCCTGGCCAGGACTGCGAGGAAGAGGAGTCATCGTTGTCCCTGGCTGCAGAGGTGGCTGACCCACTGCTGAATGACTCCGTGCCCGTCTCCATGGTCAGGGACTTGTCTTCCTCTTTGCAGCCCTGGCTGGAGGGGTCTCTGCTCTGACCCTGCAGCCTTCCCTGCATCTTGCACCTCCAGGGATCAGGTGGCACTGGTCATGTAGTAAGCCTTCTACAACTCTGGTGTCATGGTCCTGCTCCCTCACTCACCAGCCAAAAGCATGGGAACGGTCCCTGAGCCAAAAATGTTCAGCAGCTGGGCAGCCTCCCCGTGACCAGGGGCTTATCCTCCTCTTTACAATCCTGACCAGGGGCCTCTGCTCCTCTGAGCCAGGACTACAGCCTCCCTTACCCTTGAGCCCTAGTGTCATGCCCCTCAGCTGCACCGGGAACTCCCTGCTGCCTCACTGGCAGTGACGCCCTAATCCCAATCCCACCCCCCACAACTCTAAAAATAAAAATACTTAAAAATAGAAAAAAAATCTTAAAAATAAAAATTGATAAAACTTATCAAAACTAGAAAAAAGTAAAAAGTCAAGCTATGCCACCCCTAGATATGGGTACATCATCCTGCTACTTTCCAAATAGAAAACACAAATATTTATTCAACATTCTGCCTTTTCTGCATCATTAACAATGCTACACTCTCCATCTAATAATGGACCTACACCATTGCTATTACTTCCCTTTTTCCTGATATATTTTTAAAACTCCTTATTGTCCTTAGTCTGCCAGCCAGGGATTTTTCCCTCATCTCTTTCACTTCGCCTATGTATTTTCTGCAAATCATAACTTCCAATTTATATTGACTGCTATCTATTTCCCAGCCCTAGAGAGTCAAGCAGCACTTCTCCCAGGTTTCTGGACTATCCTCAAACCCTGATGCAAATCAACAACAGTAACCCTGTTTCTATGCTCCACCCACAAACAGATATGGAAGCCTTAATGTAATCCTCCAGTGAAAATCATAGAATCATAGAATATCAGGGTTGGAAGGGACCTCAGGAGGTCATCTAGTCCAACCCCCTGCTCAAAGCAGGACCAATTCCTAACTAAATCATTCCAGCCAGGGCTTTGTCAAGCCTGACTTTAAAAACCTTTAAGGAAGGAGATTCCACCATCTCCCTAGGTAACCCATTCCAGTGCTTCACCACCCTCCTAGTGAAAAAGTTTTCCTAATATCCAACCTAAACCTCCCCTAGTGCAACTTGAGACCATTACTCCTTGTTCTGTCATCTGCCATCACTGAGAACAACCGAGCTCCATCCTGTTTGTCTTACTAGACACTTATTACCAATCTCCTACATTATCCCCACTCATGCTGCAAGTTGTGAACCTCATCTCTTAGCTCTAGAAACCTACTTGGATTCTTCATCAAGGACCTGATCCAAATCTTAAGTAGAAAAATTCCTACTTAATTCACTGGGCTTTGGATCATGACCCAAAGGAGAAGCCTCATGAAACATTCCTCCTAGCAGCAAAAACCTGCTTGATCTCTGCTGTTACCATACAGTCAAGACCAGGGGTCTCAAACACGCGGCCCGGGGGCCGCATGCGACCCGCGGGGTTATTTTTTGTGTCCCGCAAGCCCCTCGCAGCCCCTCCGCCCTCCCCCAGTGTTTACCTAGAGCGGCTCCGGCCGGATGTGCACCGGGGGCAGGGCAGGCTCCCTGCCTGCCTGCCCTGCCCGGCGCCACTCCGGGAAGAGAAGGGGGGCAGAGGGGCTGTGTGTTGCTGTTGCTTCAGTCAGCGCCCCCCAGCAGCTCCAATTGGTCGGGAACGGGGAACCGTGGCCAATGGGAGCTGCTGGGGGGCGCTGACTGAAGCAACAGCAACACACAGCCCCTCTGCCCCCCTTCTCTTCCCGGACGCGCGCCGGGCACGGCCAACAGGC